AGCAGGAAGATATTGTAAAGGCTCAACCCTGCACTCTTTTTCCGACCCCGCTCCCCTCATCCACCCGACCGAGACCTGTCTTCCTCTTGAAAGGGAGCCCTCAGCAGAGATGCAAAGACCATTCATCCATTTAAAGTGCACAATTCAGTTAAGAGCTCACGCAAGAGTGCAAGCTCTGAGGAACAGCGGATCGATGCCCGGCCCGAGCTGAGTTGCCGCTGAGCTGCCAACAGGTGGCAGGGTGGATCAGCTAAAAATAAAAATAAAAAAAATAATAAAGTGCACAATTCAAATATCGAATGTCAACTGTAACTGAAAAAAATACCATATCTTGCTGTGTATAATGAGCACTTTTTTTTACTCAAATTTGTGAGGGAAAAATAAGGATGCACACTATACATGGGTAGTACTAATTCCGTCTCTATATAAATGTTTTTAATTCTTTTATTTATGCTTATGAGTTAAAAGTGCAACTCTAGAGGTCAATAACAATATTCATATGCAAAATAATACCCTGGAATATGATAATCTGTTTTATTGAACTTACGACGATGAACTTGCAACAACAAAGAGTTCTTGGCCTCCTATGATGTGTACATATCATACATTTGTTACCAGTACATAAAATTTCTTATACCTTGTATCTGTTCTTGTTTTGTAATTATTTGTTACATAAAATTTCTTGTACCATAATGTTAAAAAATAAATGCTAAAATTCCTTTATAATACAAAAAACAAGTACCTAAATGTAAACAAAAGAAAATTTGAACTAACAAATTAAAACGAAAGATTTTTTTCCCCTGCAAGTTTGGGCCAAAAACGTGGGTGTGCATCATACATGGGGAAATACGGTGATTAATTTAAAAAATAAAGTGTACAACTCAAGGGTTTTCAGTATGTTCACAGGGCTGTACAACCATCACCACAAATTTAATTTGAGAAATCCTGTGCACATTAGCAGCCACTCCCTATCCTCCCTTCCCCCAACCTAATCAACTAGAAACCTACTTTCTGTCTCTATAAACTTTCCTCTTCTGGATTTTTCCTATAAATGGAATCACAGGAGATATGTGTTTCTATGTGACTAGTTTCTTTCACTTAGCATGGTGCTTTGAAATTTCATTCACGCTGTAGCAGGTATTAGTTCTTCATTTCTTTCGATTGCCAAATAATATTTCACTTTATAGATATACTGGCTTTTATTAATCCATTCATCAGTTGATAGACATTTGGGTTGATGCCACTTTTTGGCCATTATGAATAACCCTTCTACGAACATTCACGTAAAAGGTTTTTGTGAGGACATATGTTTTCACTTCTCTTGGATGCACATCTAGAAGTGGAGTTGCTAGACCACATGGTAATTCTATCTTAACTTTTGAGGAACTGTCAAACTGTTTTCCAAAGTGGCTGCACCATTTTACATTCCCACCAGCAGTGTGAGTTCCAATTTCTCCACATCCTCGTCTACATTTGTTATTATCTGCTTTTTTCATGGTAGCCATCCCAGTGGATGTAAGGTGGTATCTCATTATGACTTTGATTTTCATTTCCCTAACAATTAGTGATGCATATTTTCATGGGCTCATTATCCACTTGTATATCTTTGGAGAAATATCTAATCAAATACTTTGATCATTTTAAAATTGGGTTCTTTGTCTTTTGATACCTAAGTTGTAAGAGTTCTTTATATATTCTGGATATAAGTCCCTTATCTGCCATAGGATTTGCAAATATTTTCTACCATTTTGTGTGTTGTCTTCTTATTTTCTTGATGGTATCGTTTTTAGTACAAAAGTTTTTAATTGTAGTTCAATTTATCTATATTTTATTTTGTCGCTTATGCTTTTGGTAGTCTATCTAAAAAAAAACTTTGCCAAACCCAAGGTCACAAAAAATTTATTCCATATTTCCTTCTGTGAGTTTTATATTTTTAACTCTTACATCTAGGTCTATGATCCACTTTGAGTTAATTTTCATATATGGTATGAGGTAAGGTTCCAACTTCATTTTTTGGCATGAAGATATCCAGTTGTCCCAATACCACTGGTTGAAAAGACAAGAATCTCCATTGAATCATCTTGTTGAAAATCAGGTGACTACAAATGTTTATTTCTGGACTCTCAATTTTAGTCCATTGATCTTCATATCTACCTTATGCCAGCACCACACTGTCTTGATTACTGTTGCCTTGTAATAGGAGAGTGTGAGTCCTCCAGCTTTATTCTTCTTTCTTGAGATCATTTGGGCTATTCTGTGTCCTCTACATTTTCATTTGAATTTTAGGATTAGTTTGCAAATTTCTGCCAAAAAAACCCAAACAAACAAAAAAAACAGCTGGTATTTTGAGAGAGATTTAATTAAATCTATAGATCAATTTAGGGAGCATTGCTGTTTTAACTATATTTAGTCTTACGACTCATGATATAGAAAGACTATTTTTCCATTCCTTTAGATCTTTTGAAATTTCTTTCAACAAGGTTTTGTAGTTATCAATGTTTAAGTCTTACACTTCTTTTATTGAATGCCTAAATATTTCATGTTCAGGTGCTATTCTGAATGAAATTGTTTTCTTCATTTCATTTTTGGAATATGCATTGCTAGGGTATAGAAATACAATTGATTTTTGTTGGTTGGTCTTGTATCCTAAAACTTTGCCAAACTTGCTTATTGGTCCTAATAGTTTTTTAAGTGGATGCCTTAGGGTTGTGTGTATACAAGACCATATCATCTGCATCCAGGTCGTTTAGTTCTCCATTTCCAACTTGGATGCCCTCAATTTCGTTTCCTTGCCTAATTGCCTCGGATAGAACCTCCAGTACGATGCTGAATGGAAGTGGTGGGATCTTCTTCTTGATCTGAAGGGAAAAGCATCTAGCCTTTCACCATTGAGTATGATGTTAGCCCTGCACGTCTCCTGGATGTATCAGGTTGAGGAAGTTCCCTTCCATCTGCAGTTTGTTAAGTGTTTTTATTGGTTTTGTCAAATGGTTTTTCTGTGTCAATTGAGATGATTATCCTTTATTTATTAATATAGAGGTGAATTCTTGGCTTTTGAATGTGCAAAGGTAGAGCTCCCAGATCTAGGGATAGGAAGTAACAACTCTTTGGACTGTGGAAGAGAGAAGACAGTGAGGAGAGGATGATAGCAGACACTGGTGGGTGCCTGGACCCCAGCTGAGCCTTGAGATAGTGGTAGCAGCGCTCTGGGGGAAGGCTGAGGACCTAAGAACAATGGGCGCCTGAGCCACATGTCCTGCATGCTCTGACGATCTGCAAAGAGAAGGCCTCCTGCCACCTGACACGTGGTGTCACACAGGGAGCCCCAGGAAGGTGGGCCTGATGCAGATCTGAGTAGCTCCAATGGAGACGCCAAGGCTTTCCGCACAGGATGGGGAGGGGCGTGGATGTGTCATGGAGCATGACAAGGCCAGAAAGTGCTTGGGGTTGGCAGATATGGCATGCATGGGCCACATGCCCAGGACCAAATGGGAGTGAAGGTGTTTCCACAGAATCCACCGTGGAGGGAAGACCATGCCCCAGGACTAGACAGCGGGGATGCCAGGTAGGGCGGAGCATCTCCCAAGAGCGGGAAGCCTCGCCCTATACCCCAAACCTCCAAATATAAAGTCACCCCCATGACAGGGAGGAGGAGAAAATCCTAAACTGATTGTGTTCCTGAGTTTTACCCTGAAATGGCAAAATTACTTTTTCTGCCATCAGGTAGACTGGATGCTTGAAAAAAACCTAAATTTAGTTAAGAAAAATAGAGAAAGCCTCATTTATTTTGTGTACACCTGAGGATGTGGTCGAATCATCCAGCAAACACCAAGGAAGCGCACAGGATGTGCCAGGTGCTGAACTGAGCACAACAGTTAGGAATGCACAGCAGTGTCTTCAGCATCTGCTGGTGTGTGTGTGTGTGTTGGGGGGGAGGGTGCGGGGGCTGTGGAAACCTCCTCTGTGCTGCTGGAAGGCAGGCGGGTCCAGGCACTGGGGGTGGGGTCTTGTGACTGGCAGGGGTGACTGAGCCCAGAGCACGCTGGCCCCTCCCCACTCTCAGAGGAGAGAAGCAGTAATTCTCTAAATGGTTTTTCTGGCTACCAGGTGCTCATGGGCTGGACTCCTCTGCTGGACCAAATATTCCCTGGAAACCTCTTTGATGTCAGCCTGGCAGAGGGGCACTGGAAGTCTGAACCCTGGAGGGCTGGAATCAGACACCCTGGGCATCAGATGGGCCACGCCCAAGCATGTGTATCAGGTGTTCCCTTACAGGTCCAAAGGCCTAGGAGCCAGGCACCTGAAGCTCTCAAGGTTTCACCTGCAGAAACAAGGCCCAGGGAACACTGCTGCAGCCACCCGCTGTTGTCCCCTGCAAGATGCAAACAACCCAGAGCTCACAGAGGGGAAGGCAGGCTGAAACCAGAAACAAGAACAAAATCCCAGTGACCGCCCCCGCCCTGCCTTCCTCTAACCCCTGTTTTTTTCACCTTACAATTTACAAAACCACTTTTACACTTGATTCTCACTAAATCCCTGAAAGGTAACTAAGGGGGACCCAGTGTGACCATTTTGCAGATGAGGAAACTGAGGCCCAGAAGGGGCATAAGCTTGCCAGGGCCACGCAAGCAGCTGATGACAGACCTGGAACTGAAATACAAGACAATCTGAGGTTCGTTCCATCACAGAGAAGTAAAAGGACAACAGCAAGGGAGGCAGGACACCCAGAAAACAGGCAGAGCAGTGTCACAGGGCCCAGATACTGTCATTCCGAGGCCAAAGCCACAAGCTACCAGAAGTTGACACCTGCAGAGGGGGTTTAGTTGACCTCTGCTGCCACCACGTGGCGATTCTGCAGCATATCAGCCAAGCGAGCCTTAGGGTGACGGATTTTTTTTGTAGAGCGGCGGTTCTCAAAAGCCCTCCCCCACCCGCCAGGTCAAAACTATTTTCATATAACACTAGGATGTCTTCTGCCCTTCCCATACTCATGTTCTCAGGAGCGCACAGTGGTGTTTTCCAAAGGCGACATGGCGAGTAATATCAACAGATTGAAAGCAGAAGGCAATAGGGATGGGAATCCACCTGTCCTCTGTTTAAACCAGACGTTAGAGAGATTTGCAAAAATGTAAAACGGTGCAACTCTTTCATCCTTTATTTTTGTTTGGAAAGCATAGTTATTTTCATAAAAATGTGTTATTATGTGAGCACTAATATTTTTTCAATTCTCAGTTTTAATTTCTGGTAAGTGCTATACTCTACAGAAACAAGAGTTCTTTGAGGCCCTCAATAATTTTAACGGGGGAAAGGGACCGCCGTGCAGAACCGCTGCTGTAGAGTCATGGCTGTTGTTATTCTTTTCGCCGCCGACAACAATGTTCCCTGTTCATCAGGGTGTTCAGGCTCCAGCAAAGCACAGAGGCAGGAAAGCCTTGGAGGGTGGTGGGACAGGACCTGGTCCACTGGGCTTGTCGGGTCCCTCATTCATTCCTTCAACAAACATTTGAATGCTCACTATGTGCCTGGCTTTGGATGGGATGGGAAAGGTGGCTGGAGCACAGGGAACCTAGAACAGAGCAGCGAGAGGTGAGTCTGGACAAGCAGCTCTGATGGGAATTATGGAAGACTTTCAATGGCAGTGTGAGACTTCTTACATAAACCTCCTAACAACTTTCTCTTTTTCACAATATGAAATGATATTCCTTGGTCTGGACAGCAGGGGGCAATGTAAACTCAGGAAGGTTATCAAATGGAATTGGCAGTCCAAGCTCTCAGCAGGAGCTCGGGTAGATTAGAGCCTCAGTTTCCCTATCTGTAAACTTGGTCAACGATGCTTCTCTCGGCTTACCCCCTCCTGCCATGGAGAGGATCCTAAGATGATCAAGAGAGCCCGGGAGGGGTTGTGACCCCTGAAGAAGGTTGTCGGATCTCAGCCTCATCAGGGGCATTGAGCAGAAGACCTCAGCTGGCCTTACAAATACACCACCACTTCCAAACAAACGGGGCAACCAGAACCAGCACCAGGAAATGGTCTGGTTGAGGCAGACTTTAAAAATATGCTCTAGGACGTGTCAGAGAAAAGACCTCAGGTTCAGGTTCATCCAGGAATGGATTAGATGCCAGTGAACATCTCTTCACCAGTATCTGCAGTGCCTTCCCAGGACCAGTGAGGCTGGGGGTGTGTGCAGACCCATGCCTCCTGTCAACAGAACTGCCTCTAATACACCTGAACGGAAGTACCACTGGAGCCCCTGGAGGCTGTCCCCAGTGCCGAGGACAGCATCTGCCTATAATAGGTGCTCAACATATGTTTGAAGACTGAAGGAATGAATGTCCCACTGTTGGAGAGATGAAGAGTTTAGACTGCAGCCTGTGGAGGTTCCCGGAGGACCTCACAGTGCCAGGGGCTATGAGGTGGAAAGACCAGGAAGACATACTGAGGGTTTATTTCAAGGAGGGAACCCCTTGTTGCAGATGAGACTGAACGTTTTCAACTTCTCTGTGCCCGAGCAATACTGTGTCTTTGTGCTGGGTCTGTAAGGGCAGGGGATTTTCAGACATACTCTGAATTATTCAATGGGGGTATGAGGGAGTAGAGAAATGAAGGAAGGCTCTTTCTTGGGGGACAAAAAAAGAATAACGTAATCTAAGGGTATTTTCCCCCACTGGGATTTAAGCCAGGAATGGCAAATCGATTCATCTGTATGTCAGTTCTGACTGGCTGGTGGTAGCTGTTCAGGCTACTGTGTTGAGAGGGATTCTGAAGCTGCTCATCAGGAGAGGGCTCTGTGATCGATTAGGGATGCCTGTGACGGGCACAGAAGGGGGTGTGGACTCATGGACACAGGCCCCCATACCAGCAAAAAAGCAATGGCCTCCCCACATGGTTCTGGTGAGAAATAAAATTCAGAATCATGACATCATTCTAGAGAACAGACTGTGACCAAAGTATTATTTTGTTTCATTTTGTTCTCCACTTAAAAACAAGGCCTGGAGAGCACCCACCTCACCCACACTCAGGGCCCATCTCAGAGGTACTCAATCAGCACGTGTGGCTCCGGGGGGGGGGCAAGGGGGTGCCTACAGGTCCGCCTCCCCCTCCACTGCCCTTTCATCCTCTGTGCCCTCCCTGCCCAACAGGCTCACAGCTGGGAAAAAGGAAGTGACACTGCCACCTTTCGTTTCTCTTCTCACTTGCATGGCGTGGGCTCCTCTCTGGGCCGGTGATATCGACAGGGGTCTGAACAGAGGGGAGAATGAGGGCAGCCGGTGTCTCTTGGAAGCCAGGCAGAAGCATCTGATACAGAAACGACCTGAAGATGTTTTCAATGTTTTTATTTGGAAACTTAAGAGAAAACTGCAGTTCCTTGGTGATTTCCCAGTGAGCTGACGGCGGTCGTGGGGTCAGGGTCGGCTTTACCCCACTTTTTCCCAGGTGCCAGTGCAGATCTGAACTGGATGGCGACCGATCAGTGGATCCTCCAAGGTGGCAGCTCAGTGACTCCAGCCGGGAGGTGAGGAACAGGGTGCTTACAATTGAGAAGGAGGGGACTCTGAGGTCAGTGGGTTCCGGAGACATCGCTGTCAGCAGCAACCTGTAGCGGAGTGAGACCCTGGTCAGGTGACACCCTGGCCAGGTGACTCTGGCCCTGAGGAAAAAGGAGGAAAGATAAGACTTTCATCTTTATGGGATTATCAGTCAGCAAGATCCAGGAATCAAACAACCCCTTTGGAACTGTTTTTGTGAAGCAACAGCTGGCAAAGTATCACCATGAGACAGACCGGTGAAAAGCTATGAGGTTGTCGGTGTGATTTGTAAATGTTTCAAAAAAGATATCACAGGAGGGAGACTATAGCACCTTTCCTTGAAAAAGAATTTTTCCTGAAATTGAAAGGAGGCCATTGAAGTTTGGAGCATGAAAGCCATGGCAGGAGGCAGACCAGCATTATTCCAGGAAGGTTCTAGAGGCAGGGGATCTGGTGGACAGGTAGGGATGGTGCAGTTGGAATCTCGGGCCTCAGACAAGCCCAAGAGCTGACAGCTGACCAGTGGTTGGGACCTGTCTTCTATCACCAAAGGTCATCATCCTCATATTTTCTGATTCTGGCTTCTCCATGTGAACAGATAAACTAACCATGTCCCAAAACAACCTCATGCAGTATTTCCTCGGTTACAAAGGTCCTTGGGTCACCCACATGTTGACCTGGGAGAGAAATAACTGAACAGATGAGTGAAAAGGAAGGGTTCTTCTTCTTAGGATGTTGTGGGAGCCGGGGGGAAGCTCTGTATCTGGTTGTTGGAAAGAGGCTGGTGCTGCTGGAGCTGGACTCTATTTTCTGCAGGAACTTGGAAACTGTTCAAAATCATTCCTACCTCCTGCACCCAGTGACTCTTGAGATAGTCACCATCCCCTGCTTCTTAGGAACTGCAGGCTCCCTAGTTCTCTAATACACATCATCTCACTGTCTTCAGTCTAGACTATGAGGGAGGTGCTGGTTTTCATGTCGTCAAAGTGTGGATGTCACTCTTGCCTGAATAGAGCATGGCCTGTCTGAGATCTCAGAGCTACCAGGAAAGTTCAAATCCAGGACTTGTTAGAGAGCCTTGGTGTTTTTAGGTTAGAGCAGGAAGTTGGACTTCTTGGGTGAGGCTTGTTCAAAGCGAGGCTCTAGGAAAGCACCGGAGGAGACCCCCTGTTCCAGCTGGGAGGCACCATCCACCTCCCCACACCAGCAGAGGACAGGCAGGCAGATAGACATCTGCGCCTCTTGTTCTTTCAGAAAGAAAAGCTTCCAACTGGGGTGGCCACTGCCCTGAATGGCCAGATCCAGAATAATCAGGATTTGGCTTGCTAGAAACTTCTTCCTTTCTCCTGAAGTAGCCAATCACCAGGGTGGTCACAAGTGGCAGGGTGCTCGGGCAAGCGTCCAGCCACTCTGGGCTGTGCCAGGTCTTGGCAGTAAAACCACCTTGCAGCTGAAGATTTAAGGACATGGAAAAATGGTCCTGGACTATTAAAAGGGAACAGCGGATCATAGAACGCTGTAGGATTATCAAGTAGGACCCCATTTGGAGGGTACACATAAAAAACACTTGGAAGAAGAAGAGCGAAGTTTGGGATTATAGGGTTTTTTTTATATTCTTTCTGTTTATTTGTATTTTCTATTTTTCTACAATAAAAAAAATACATTGATTTTATGATGTCACTTTCATCTATTCAAAGGTGGGGGTGGTGGCGGCCAATATCTGAGCACACTTTTAAGAACAGGGCAACTTCTCTTCCCTGCCCTGGACATAACCCCAATACAGTCACTTGTCACTTAAAATGTTTAATTATGCAAAATGCATTGCTACCCTTTTCCTTTTATAAGACAGGGCAAAAAGCCAGGAAAGCTGTGAATGTGGGTGCTTTAGTAAAAAGCTAAAAGCATTTGATTTAAAGCCAGCATCTAGGACTTGTCCTGGGCTCACTCTAGTCAGTGTGACCCATCCCACCCTTTCCCTGGCTCCAGGGTCTGGCCCATCCAGGCTTCCTAGTAGTGCTCAGTTGCATGGGGGTGGCGGTGGGGGTGGGTGGGATTGCGTCCAGGTATTTAAGCGTAGAAATTCCGTTTGAGAATTACACTGAGNTGGGGTGGGGGAGGGGTGGGCAGCGGGAGGTTTGCTAGACCTTCCCTACAAAGACTATCTTTCCTGAGAGAATTTGCAGTCACCACAACCAAAGCAGAATGGTTTCTCAGTGACTAAAAAATTCAGTGACTCGGCCCTCTTTGTCTTCCGAGCTCTGCAAGTGACCCATTTGGAGCCAGAGAAGGATAAACAAGAGAGGAAAAGATGAGGAAGAACTGAGGGGATATTGGAGAGTGATCATCCAGCCATTCAACCGTGTTTCCAAGTGGCCATCTGTGCGCCAGGCTCCATGAGAGGCACAGGCCATACAGAGGTGAAACAATGGTGGCAGCTCTCTGGGGCCTTTCGCGCTGGCTGGGGAATGAGGAAAATCGTCAGGCAGTTATGATGCAGAGATGTGGTAAGGGCTGCGCAGGTGCTCTGGGAGGGAGCCTACCGCAGGCACAACTCCTCCTGGCTGAGGCATCAGGGCAGGCTTCCTGGAGGAGGAAACTTCTAGACCAAGGCCTGGATGACAAAGGGGAGTTGATGAAGCCAAGGACAAAGGAGAAGGTGTGAGAAGAGGGTGTCGGGCAGGCACAGCATGCGAAAAGACCCAGAGACAAGAATGGGGATGGATGGGGAAGAGGATGAGGCGATTAAGGACTGATGCTTTACCTAGAGGGCAATGGGAGGCCATTGAGGGCATTTGAGTAAGGGACTGTCTTGCTCAGATTTCTGTTTTTAGATCCCTGAGGCTGCAGAGATCTTCTGCAGTGAAAAGGGGAGAAGGGGAGGGTGCGAGAGGCAGAAAAAGGATCGGGGCAGAGAATGCCCTCTATGGCTTGGGGAGCCCCCTGGTGGCTCTCAGACTCAGGCTTTGAGTGCAGTAGGGAGGTGGGGAGAGAGTGTCCGTGTGACAGGGTGTGGGCATCCGGGTGCGAGTCCTCACTTCTGAGCCTGGGTCGTTAAATTTGTACGGTGAAACTATACTTCTCTCCAAGGGCCATCAAAGCTGCTGAATGAAAAAACAGGTAGGTGGGCTCACTGTAAACAGGTAAGTTCAGGGCTGATCTCAGTTACTGAGCCCTCGGCTCACCACCAGTCACAGGTGGGCATTTGAGAAGGGCTTTTTGATGACCAGAAGGGTGGTGATCCTAGCCCCAGGATTAACACAGAGTAGATAGGAAATGAATGACAGAGGGACATTTGCATGGCAAAGAAGAGAGTTTCAAGATCCAGGAGGCACACCTGGCAGGGCAGAAAGCACACTGACCTGGCACTCAGGGGCTGGTCACGGCGTGGCTCCCTCGGATCGCCTGCAGTGAGAGCTCGTACCCAAGGAACATGGCCGCACTCATGGGGAAGCCCCGCACCGCATTCACAGTGATGCCTCTGAAAAACACCTTTGGCAGGAGGTGGCGTTATCACAGGGGACTGATCCACACCCTCTGCAGGGCCACCACTGAGGGGCAGAGAGAGGGCTGGTGGTGCTGCCCACTCAGGCCCCCAGTCCCAGGCTAGACCCCACAGAGCCCAACGGACCCGTGTGGGTGGAGAGCACCCGAGATGTCCCAGCCATACCCACGCCCTGACCCGGGTCACATCTCATGGCACTTTGCTTCCCAGGTCCTGGTCAACATGCAATAAATACTATGAGCAAGGTGTTGAGTCCTGCAAACACATATATACTTGCTTACTTGCTGCTCTTTCTTGTCAATACACATGAATACACACTTACATGCACACACACACGCACACACACACACACACACACACATACATGTACGATTCCAGGGAATCTAGGAATCAGAGCTCTCCGCTCCACTCACTTTGCAATGGTAGACAGAGCACCCAGCCATGACAGGTACTGTGACAGGTGCTTCACAGGACACCCCAAAGGGGCAGGCTCGGGGAGAACTCAGGCTGTGCTGAAGATGGTGGACACAGAATCGAGGCACAGCTTTGCCATTTACTAGCTGTGTTACTTGGGCAAATGACAGCCTCTGAGATCTCAATTTTCCCAACTGTACAATGGGGGTGATAATACTAGTGATCTGATGCAGGTGTTGAGGGAATACATGAGATGCTGCTTTTAAGCATTTGCACAGTGCCTGCCATGCAGTAAGCGCTCATTGACTGTTGACCATCACAGCACCACCCTTCTTATCAATAGTCATCAGAGTAGCACTCAACCTCAGTCATCGGTATGCATGTCCTGGCGTAGTGGCCTGTCTTATGAGCTGCTAAACTCAGCTTTTAATACAGAAAGACTGTATTTGTTTTCTATCTCTAGAAAATATAAGATGCTTCCTTTCCTCCCTGAACCGTCATGCTTGATGCTGGGTAGACAGTGATCCAAGCAATAGAGTTCCAGCCCTCAGGAAGTTTATAACCTACTCGGGGAGCTAAGCCCCATTCAGGAATAACTACAACATAACCTAGAATGTGATGAGAATAGATTAAGGGCTTTGGTGAGGGGTGGCATGGGAGGAGCTGTCCTCAATTGTCCTCTCTGGAAAGAGACAACATATCTAAAGGCAAGTGCCTACCGAAGCATAAATGGCCTAAGAACTGTCAGGCATAAGAACCAAACCTGTTCACTGACTCCTGGATAATTTACTAAGCTTATGAAATAGAACTGGTATTGTGATTTTCAGAAAGCAGAAATCCAACCCTTGGCACTTCCCCAGTTTCCTTGGTAGTGGGGAACTGTGGTGTCAGGGTGGGTGCAGACCACTGTCATTGGCCAGGACATCGGGGGGCCTTCCTCCAGGAGAGATGCCTGCACCTTGACACTCTGTGGCAGCCTGGGAAACACGGCTCTGTTGGGAAGGGAGAGAAGGCCTTTGTGGACTTGGGGAGAAGCCTCGGCCCCGGGGAAAGGACCAGGATCCCAGAGGTGAGCAAGTGGCTCCGCCAAACCCTAGAGCAACTCAGGTGGGGACAAGCGGGATCCTTGTAACATTAGCACTCCTCTCTCATGTCTAACCTTTCTGGAATTCCACCGGCTCACCCAGAGCAACTGAATAACAGCAAGGAACTGGGTCAGACTCCAAGAGGAAAATTCCATGCTAGGTACCCACAGAGGCTCCCTGTGGACCTCGGCTTGGCTCTGCAGGGCGAGGCAAGCCAGGCGGGACCCAGCTTGGAGAGTGATCCTCCTCTCCCATAGCACTGGGCCCTAAAGGAGCCGTGGGCCCCTTCAGACAGACAGATGTGACCCCCTCCACCAGCTGTGGCTGCTCTACTGTGAGGCCCAAAGGTGGCAAACAACATGCAGGCCTCTGGCTTTTACCATGAGCTTTCAGAATGCAAAAACACTAGATCGAGTCTCTCCTCATGAAGCCTCAATGGCTCCCTACTGCCCAAGTTCAAATGCATACCTTCCCTGGCCTGTCAGGACTCACACCCTCTGTTCCTGCACTTTCTCTGGGCTGCCTCTTACATCCGACACTCTGGGCAGGTGAACAGCCTGTCATTCCTCCTAAGAGACCAGTGGCCCTCTGCTGGAATGCTCCCCAGACCTGGCTGCACCCTCTAGTAGTCCTCCCAGGGCTACTCCAGTTGGATTATAGCCCATTGCCTTCTGTGCACTCCATATTTCTGCCATCACACCACTTCTCACACCATCTTCCAATTACCCATGGCTTGTGCATCCTCTCATTAATAATAATCCCAGTAAAGGTAGTGAGAGCAAGACTGCATGTGTAGCTTACTTCTGAATCCCTAGCACCTGTACTGTGCTTGGCCTAGAGGACCTCTATAAACCTTAGTAAATGAATCAATGGATGGATGGATAATTAATTAATGAAAGAATGAATTACTTAATGCAGAAAAGAATGGTCTCTGAGCTGACCAAGCCTTTCTTCAGGAAAGTCCATGGATGTCTAATCCTCTCTGTCATGAAGGCTGCTTTATGGCTAATTGTTAAGTGAGTTACAAGGTTGTGGCTGTGATAATGGTAGGTTCCTGGAATGGAGAGAGGGTTCCAGACCCCCAAATGGCAGAACCAAACAGCAACCAACCCTGGTGCCTCAGGAAGCTTCTCTACTACAAATGTTCCTCTCCGTCTCTCTGTAGAGTCATCCAGTCTCATCCCACCATCATAAACCCCTTCATACCAGTCACCTCTATGGAGCTAGCAGACACCATCACTCCTTCAGCCTCCTTATTGCAGACAACAACTCTCCAAGTATGAGCCATGGCCCAGTGGCCTATGACGCCCCTCACAGCAGGCAGACAAGGGATCCCAAATGAATAGGCCTTTCTTCTGTTATGACCTGGGAAAGCCCTGCAAGTCCATGGATGTCTAATCCCCTCCATCAGGAAGACTGCTTTATGGGTAATCATTAAGTGAGTTACTTAAGGGCTACTAAGGGTGGGCATTATTTTACTCTTTTCCAATTCGTTATTACCACTGAGTTTTTCTTCCCTGGGAAAGTGACAGCAAGCTGGCTTAGGGCTTTGTGCCCTGTCTCGGTAAGCTGCAGTAAAACTTTGAGAATGGATACTCCATAAAGCCAGTGTCCAAGACAACTGGGACTGGAGCCATCCCTCGGCCCTGGGAAATGGCGTTCCTCCTGTCAGGGGTATGACTGGGAGACAACCTAACTTTCCAGGACTGGGTGGGATTTTTTAATGCTACTATTTATGTTTATATGCAAAGACACATGTCAATATACATAAATATACAAACGCACATATATGATTGCATAGGCTGTGAATATTTTTGGAATATATCACAAGAAATAACAGTGATTACCTTTGAGAGAGGACTGGGAACCACATAGACACATTTAGACAGTATATCCTCTTGTACCTTTTGAAGTTTCCTATATTCATAAACAACCTATTTGTTTAACCCACTAATAAAAACAGTTAAAAATTAATCTCAGTCAAAGAAGTGGTTAACCAAGCTGAATATTGGTATCTCTGCTTAAAATCTGTCTCTGACTATAAACTATGGATCAAATGCTATCAAGTTTAAAAAATTGGACCTGTGGGAAACTATCAAGCAGATCAACATATGCATTGTGGGAGTCCCAGGAGGAGAAGACAGAGAGAATATGTGAAGTAATAATAGCTGAAAACTTCCCAAAATTGATGAAAGACATGAATATAAACATCAAAGAAGCTCAACAGATTCCAAGTAAGATGAACTCAAAGAGACCCACACCAAGACACATTATAATGAACTTTAAAGACAATGAGAGCATCTTGAAAGCAGCAAGAGAGAAGTGACTCATTACACACAAAGTGTCCTCAATAAGATTATTAGCAGATTACTCATCAGAAACTCTAGAGGCCAGAAGGCAATGGGCCAATATTCTCGAAATGCTAAAAGAAAAAATAATCAATCAAAAATCCTATATCCAGCAAAACTATGGAGTGAGGGAAAAATGACATTCCCAGAGAAACAAAACTGAGGGAGTTCATTACCACTAGATCTACTTTGCAAAAAAAATGGTCAAGGGTGTCCTGCAGGGCAAAGTGAAATGACACTAGACTGTAACCTGAAGCTGTATGAAGAAATAAAGATCTCAATAAAGGTAAATTCATAGGGAGAGTGACGTCAGCATCATCATAGCACAAGGTGTCCCTCGTTTTGTCCCCATCTCAACAACAAAAATTCGGCATCCATCCATGAAAAAAAGTGCCTCTATGGGAGTTGTGGGATCTGGCAGCATCTACCAAGGGACCCAAGAGAAGCGTCTCCCATTTGTATATCAGGTAATAGGCAGACAGACCTTGGTACTGGCCATAGCCTGTGAACTGGCTCCACCCCCTTGGTCGTGGTCCAGGAGCACCGGGAGAACACTGCCTTGGGCAGTCACCCACACAAAACAGAAACTTTGTGGAAGTCCAGGTTTCCAGAGGAAAAGTTCCAGCACTCCACTGGAGCAAAAAAGAAATGCAAGTTCAGATGTATTGGAGTGGGCAGTTAGTAAACACTGGAGGCTTAGGACAAGGCAGGCACGTGAGAAAAGGCCCAGAGCTCAGCAGCAACATCAGCACTGATAAATCGACTAATACTCATGCCTATGACAAATGGCTAACTCTTTCTAAGTGTTCTGTATGTGTGATGCACTAAGCTAAGCACTTTTTATATGCCTCATTTAATTTCACCCACACATATCCCTGTCGCTCATGGTAGGGATGGTTATCCTTGGAGAAACGGAGGCCCTGGAGAGGTGAAGCCACTTGTCTGGATTCCCCCAGCTCACAAGTAGTAGCCAGGCCTGGCTTTGAACTCAAGCCTGTTGACTCTAAGAGGCATGTCAAGAAAACTGGGGTGCAAAGAGGAGAAAAGAGGAGGGAGATGAAGCCAGGTTGGAGGCTGCCTCAATAGGGGAGACCAGGGAAGATGGGGTCTGGACTTGCATGGGTGGGAGAGCATAAGACAGATGAGGGAGCTAGAACTTTGCAGATGTGATGACTGAGGTGGTTCTGAGACCCCGCTTGGAGAAAGGGCAGGGGTGAGGTACTGAGCACTGAGGGAGGAAGGGCCTCCCAGCCTATCTTGATGAGCAGGTGAGGTTTGGTGACACACAGACGTGGGTCCAGGTCCCTGCTCTGCCGCATACCAGCTGTTTTACCTCAGGTGGGACGCATACCCACCTCCTCCACCAGCCTGGGGCAAGGACTAGATAAGACAAGTTGCTCTCATAGTGCTTGAAAAATGGTAACTGTCAGCATCTCGGTTTTCCTTCTCTATAATCTCACACCCCCTAAAATGCCTAACCCCCCCCCCTTCCAGGGCCTGACCTGACCCCGCATGGCTACAGTGGGGCTTACTTTAAGACCGTCCTTCTGGTAACTCTGGGAGATACAGTCCAGGACACCTTTGTATTTGTTTAAATAAACCCCGTCAGCTTGGAGACGACTTTTCACGACATCCATAGGAGTCGCTGTCCCCCAAGAAATTGCTCCTGTAAAGAGAGAGACAAACAGGGGTCAGGGGCTGGCTGATGGGGGTCTGGAGGGGACCCTGCAGGTTTCCACCATTCAGAAGCTTAATAAGCTGCTGAGGGAAGTGGAAGAGCTCAGGGTCAGGCCCTGTGAAGGCTGTTCCTGATCCTCTCGCGGTGGGACTTGGCAGAATTCTCCCACCTCTGCGAGGCCTTGGGTTTGTCATCTGTAGAATGGGGGCAGCGGTCCCTATCTTCATGGGGTTATGAGGATAAGTAAATGAATGGCTGCGAAGCTTTAGCCCAGTGCCAGGTCCACAGCCAGTGCTTCATAAGTGGAAACCCTTGACTAGCAGCTTTTGTGGAGAAACAGGAACAGGCCCCACCAATACTTTGCAGCACCTTTCCAGGGCTCCAGGGGAGAGAGCCCGGGGTAAGGCTTACAGCTCCCCAGAGGCAGGATTTACCCTGAACATAAAGGAAGCTAAACGAACCCTTGCAGATAGGTTGCTGGCCAAGAAAGGGTCAGCCTGGGGGTTGCAAGAAGAGCAGGAACAGGTCGTTAAAACTCTCTTATCTTTCCCAGATATATGAAATAGGAGCCTTGGGACCACATGCCCCTAGGTCATCCCTGTCGGATACACTCGGGTGCCCTAGTTTGAACACTTCTGTGACTTTAAGGGACTCCCGGACAACACCACTGGGTTATTGTGTAAACACAAAAATTGGCACATTCTTGGATGGGGAGAGAAAAACAAACTGATGCCAAAGTCCAAGGCAGCCGGTTTGCAAGGTTTTGTAATTGCTGTCCAGAGACTTCCAAAAGAGGCCTTCACCTGTCCCAGGCCCTCTGCCCATCCCAGCCTCCAGCCCCTGTGGCCTCCTGCCCATGGCCCTTGGGTAGCCTTCTGGACCTCTCCTCCCTCCTGCCTCCTGCCAGGATAATGGGCTGCCTCTGCTGGCATACTCCCCTGTCCCTCAGCCCACAGGTGAGGGTATTACAAATCAAGGTTTGCCTGCCAGGCCACTCACACCTGCTTTTGCCAGACATGAGAGCCGGTGGGGCCTTGTTTGTCCTCTCAGCCAGCACGTACTTACTGAGCACTTACTAGGAGCTGACGTAGGCCAGGCCTCAGACCCATGGGGGCGGAGGGAGAGCACGGGTGTTTGGTGGCTAAGACCTGGGCTTTGTTATGTGTTGGCTGAATGTCAAGCATAGCTAATTATGATGATAAGGAGGAGAAGGAATGACAATTTTCCTCTCTCCCTTGGATCTTTTCCATCAGCATGAAACATGCCATGTTACCAGCCTCCTTAGAAAACAATCCGCTGTTGAATTCCATGCCCCCTCTGGCTAGAGCTGCATTTCCCTCTGCCTCGTTACAGCACACCCAAACCCCTCAGAAGTGTGGTGTAGACTTGCGTTCTCCAATTTCTTTCATCCTACTCTCTCTTGGTCCCACTTTGATCAGGTTTTCACACCCTTCTCTTCACCAAAATGGGTCTTGTCAAGGTCCCCGATGACCTATACATCACAGAGGCCCTGTGGTGGCAAAGAGACCAGTGTGACTGGAGCAGAGCAAATCAGGGGACAGGAGCAGAAAATGCATACAGATAGGTAGCAGGAAGTCAGATCATACAGGGACTTGAAAACCACTGTAAGGACACTGACTTTTACCCGACAGGAAATGGAGATGCAGGGTGGGTTCTGAGTAGGGAGGTTAAGTAACAAGTCCATGGTCACAAGGTGAGTAAGTGTGGATTTGAACTTGGATCTTCCTGACTGCAGAGTCCCTGCTATCCTGTCTGCACTAGCTGTATGGCCTTGGGTTGGTCGATCTCTCTGAACCTGAGCTTTCTAATCTGAAAAATGGGGAGATTGGGTCCTACCTCCTGGAGCTAATGAAATCTCACGTGAGAAAAGTTTGCAGGGTGCCAATATTCAAAAAAAAGGTGAATCATGACAATAGAATTCAGTTTCAAAGCTCAGTGATACCTGCCACAGAGTAAGGTGCTCCAAATATATCTTTTGACTGAAAGTTAAATGGGTCCAAATAGGGACTTGCCATCACTAGAGGTCCAGAGGACTAGGTCTGGCACATAGTAGGTACTTGGCAAAAAATTCTTGGATAAATCGTGCCCTTCCCTGGGGCTGAGGAGGGCATGGTAGGCTCCCCAGTTGTCCCACTGCCGTAGCCAGCACAGAGACAAGAATCAGCGCTGCTGCCTTACCTGCCATGCCACCTGCCAGCCACACGGCACAGGGGCTAGGGCCTGCACAGCCCTCAGGTGTGATCCAGTCACTCAGGAGCACATAGGGGATGAAGTAGAGGCAATAGCCTGGGACGTCCCTCAGCAGCATGGCGTTGCCTCCCCGGTACAGCCCCGCCAGGCCCTCAGTCCGCACGATGGTTGCGATGCAATGCACAGGCCCCTGGTAGGCTGACCGCTCCCCAAGAACTGCTGCCCGGGGCTTCAAACCGAGGTTGGCTGCAAAGACAGTGGGGAGACGATGACAAATGACCCGGGGGCAAGAGATTGGTCATTCTCTGGCACTGGAGTGAGCCCAGCCCACGGATAGTTCCTACATGAGGCGCATTGGTTTTTTTTGTTTTTTTTTTTTTATCAAGCCTTCTGACCTTCTTGGCAGCTCAAACTAGGATTCTGAAATCTGCCAACATGTGTAGCCAGAATGGAGACAATCCCGGCCAGGTGATAAAGCACCAGTTAGTTGCCTTAGAACCCTCAGAGGCTTTCGGTCAACCATCACTGTCTTTCTGAGCAGATATGCCTGAAGAATGCCTATGATCAAATATGACAAGAGCTGGGTATGCCAAGCTCTTTCTTGAAGCAGAGACTGGAAAATCCAACACACTGTGTGTGTGTGTGTGTGTGTGTGTGTGTGTGTGTGTGTGTGTACACTTGTGCGTAGTGTGGTAAAACAGTATTTGAGATTTGGACCCAGACTGTCCTGGTTCCAAATCCGGGCCCCGCCACTTACAAACTTTTTGTCCTTGGTAAAGCCACATTTTTCAGCCTTTATTTTCTTATCTTTAAAAAGGAGACAGGCCGATACTGTAGCGTATACTTGAAAGTTGCTAAGGCAGTAGATTTTTAAAGTTCTCACCACTCCCCCACACACAAAAATGGTAACTGTGTGAGGTGATGGATGTGTTAACTAACTTTATCTGGGTAATCATTTTGCAATATACACATGTATCAAATTATCACATGGCACACCTTAAACTTACACAGTGTTCTATGTAAATTATACCTCAATAAAACTAGAAAAACATGTTTAAAAAAATAAAAGGAGAACAGGCTGTTGTGAGTATAAATACAGTACTACCCGCCAGTGCCCAGCATGGTTCTAGGAGCATGGTAGGGATGCAAAGTGTCCACAGATTACTGAGACCCGGTGACTGGCATGAGTCGTGTGCAGGACACACTGGTTGGAGGGCTGGACATGTTCTCACTGACTCACTCCAGCCCTGCCGGGCTGTGCCCTGAAACAGCTGTCAGGCAACCCTGGTGCCATGGGTCCCTCAAAGTCCAGGGGTGCAGGGTTGCTGTCTCCTTGTCTGACCTCTGGGGTCTCTGCTGGCAGGTCATGGGTTATGTCTGTAGCTTCTTCTAAGGGTGTAGGCAGCCAGCAAGCAGTGACTCTGTCTCCCCATTTACTCCTCCCACCTAGCTCCCCCGTCTCCCTCTCTGATGCGCATCTCTGCTACGGACCCTTTAGCATCGCTTTAACTCACAGCCAGAGAGACCTCCTAGTCCCCGTGCAGAAAAAAGAGACATTTATTTCAACTTTTTGCCTTCTTGAAGAACTAACGTGACATGTCCAGGAAAGAGATGGAGTGAAGCAGGCCTGTGACCGCACTCTGCCAACAGGGACGCTGAGCACTCGGTCGGTTTAATTCCCAATATGTGCCATCTCAATTCGGTTTTACACATGCTGCCAAAGAGGCAGATGACTTTCACTACAGAGCTGAACTTCCAAGTCCCCCATGGAGGTCCATCTTTATTGGAGGAAATGTCAGGACAAAATATTCAGGTTCATGACTCCACAGTCCAAACTGGGGATCTGGGAGTAAAGTGCAGCCTGTCCTTTCACACAGCCCCAAAGTAGCTGAGGTCAAGGGCGAGGTTTCTATAGAAAGTGTGCTTGAACAAACTAATCCTGCCCTTTCCTTTGGCATGGGGGGGAGGGGGTCATCGGTGCCATGTGTGGTAGGCCAGCTGCAGTGTGGGCAGGAGGCTGAGTCCCATTCACTTCTCTAGCGCATTCCACAGGAAGTGAGCAGAGTTGGTGGCCACTTAGGCACAGGGCCCCCTGAGCTCAGAGCGAGGTCAGACACTGTGGTGTTTGAAAGCCCACTGGGAGGTCACTGGACACCCCTTCCTCTCCCAAATCCATTATGATACTGCTGGGGTCATCCTGGGGAGTTTGGGCATTAGACAAAATAGATGTATCAATAATTGTTCCACCATAAAACCTCTGCCTGGGCCATGCTCACATCCAAGTGCAGTGACCTGACCCAGGAGTCAAAGCTTTCATGAATTAACTATGGACATGATGTGGTTTTCAGAAGTTACTGATTGAAGGAGCGTGTCTGATAATATTCTGCTTGTTTGGAGATACAGATGTTGAATAAAGTACTCGCCCAATTGGCAACTAGTTTTGTCAACAAAAAACCTGAACTTGTTTCCTTTTCTTTCCAGGGTGAGCAATAAGGAAATTCTCTCACATTCTCCCAGGTTTGTTACATGAGCAACCTAGCTTTTATTGTTTGAGAATGATCCATTTATGAGTATTAAAGCAATATAATTGCCATGGTGACTACCATCACCTGGAATACTGACACGAATCTGAATTGGCGGCCAGCGCCTTCTGGACACAAGCTGATACGACAAGGCCTTTGGAACTCCTTTCAACTCTCTCATCTTCAATATTTACAAAACAAAACAAAAAACCAAAACTTATTTGGAAACAATTTCATGTGTGCAAAAAAGAAAAATCATACAAAAAAACCCCAAACGCTTACATACCCTTTAACCAGATGCACCTATTGTTAACATTTTACATCATTTGTTTTATGGTTTGTGTGCTCTCTCCCCATCCACCTGCTTCTCACTCAAACATGTGCATGCAGCTGAACTGAGCAGATGCCACTGTCCCCACGAAAATCTTGCCTGGGCTGTGTTCATCTCCAGGCAACAGTGGCCCGACCTGGAGTCAACGTTTTCATGAGTCAGTTAAGGTTTGGACACGGCTTTCAGGAGTTACAGATAGAAGGACAGTGACTGATAAGGTCCTCCCAGTGTGGAGAGGCCAATGCTGGGAAAGCACTTGCCAAACCTTGAACCAGCCTTATCAGCAAGACCCAAGCCACAACCAAACCTGCACTTTATTTCCTTTTTCCCCAAAGTAAGCAGTAAGGAAATTCTTTTGCACACACATACATATTTGTCTTCACATATACATACATAAGTTTATTTCCTGAACCATTTCAGGGTGAGTAACATGCAAACATGGTCTTTACTCCAAAATACTTCAGTATGTGTTTGCTAAGAATAGGGATATAGGGATATTGTCTTCTCACAGTACAGTCTTCGGCTTCATAACCTACTCTGACAATAGTTTTCTCTAATGTACTGTCTTCACTCACATTGTCGCTTGATCTCATAATGACATTTATAACATTCCTCCCCTTCTCCAGGTCAGGGGCCAGTCTAATCAGGTACTGCATTGAGTTGTCATGTCCCTTTAGCTTCCTTTAATCTTAGTCTTAACACAGCCTTTCTTTGTTTTTTTTATGACACTGACATTTTTAAGAGTACACTGCCTCCTTTCTTGTAAACAGAGCTTTCCTCATTTGGGCTTTGTTTGATGTTTCCTTGTCATTACGTCGAGGTTATGCATTCCTGGCCGCACCTCCTCCTGGTTCTCACCTCTCGTCCCACGAAGACCAATCACTTTCAAGAGCCCGTGGTCTTCTCCTTCTCTGGCCTCCTATCCTTGTTTTTTAGTTTGTTTTTAAATTGAGGTATAATTTACATTCCATAAAAGGTGCAGCTCCTAACTGCACAGTGGGTGAGTTTTGACAATGGCATGACTTGCGTTACCGTAGCCTACCGAGAAAATGACATCTTACACTTGAGACAAACTGTTTTGGTCACAGCCCACTCAGGCAGAGCAAAGATTCCAAGTCTACCTACCCTCCTCTCCTGCCTTTCAAGGTAAAAGAACTCTGTGACATCAATGAGGTGTTGCTCAATGAGAAGCAAATCTTTCTTTTAGGCGGTGGTTGTTACGTACATCATGGCCATTTTTTTCTCATGTGTGTGCTATTGTGGGAAACACACAGAAAATGTACTTAACTATTCTAATAACCCATAGTAAGCTTCCTGGCATGTGTGTTCTCTTAATCCACGGACACAGAAAGGATAGCTGCTGTTCTACTGGTTGGACCCATTTTATATATTAAAAAGGAACTCTTAGAAGAAGCTGGGGGCCCCCAGCCCATGACAGAGGCTGTACCCCGATTATGATTTATTCTGGTGACTGCTGTTTTCTTAGTGTGTTCTGCCCTAATGGATGCAGTGAATTTCCTGGTGACAGAAATCATTGTGGCATGTCCCAGGGCACTGTAACCTTGTGCCTGACACCATGCCACATGAGCTGCAACATCCATTCAGTGAACACTTGAGCGTCTAATCAGGCAGCTCTCAGCGCCAGGGCCTCCCAAAGCTTCACCTCCCACACTCAGCATTCATCCAAGCCTGGCCCTGTCCGGTCCTTGTGCCAGACACTATAAATACTAAAACTCCCAAACCATGGTCCACTACCACACTGGTCTAAGATGCTATGGAAGAATCCAACAACATGCATGTCCATCCTCCAGCGGACAGGTCAGGTGTAACCTCCGTGGTGTGGGTTTGAGCAGGCTGGTATAACCCCTAAGTTCCCTTCGCCAGGATATTGTCAACTGGAAAACTCTTGTCCACTTCCTCTTTCCAAAGGGTCCAGCAGTTTCATCATGATCTGAACAGTCCAAGGTATGCAGATGGTTTTGTAGAAAGAACCCTGGGTTAGGAGCAACTGGGATTTCCTTTGCTGCTCAGTGCTATTTCCTGTACAACCCCATGCATAGGACTCCTCCACACTGGGCCTCAGTTTCCTCATTGTCTACAAAAGGGGGAGAATAAGTGGCCTGTCCACCTCATTTGGCATTTGTGAAAGCTAAGTGAAAACGTTGGCAAATGTACTTTACTAAAATGCATGTTGTGCAAATGTACTTTACTCGAGGCAAATAGTTACCATTCCTAATTTTATTACCCTGTTCTGATGTGACCTCGGATTCTGGAAGTGCCGGACCTGCCAACCTCGGGCAGCTGTGGCCTGCTGCCAAGCCTACTGTGGGAGATTGTGAATGTCCACACGCGGCCAAGAACTACCAATACTGGTGTCAAGTCCAGGAATCAGG